ACAGCTAAGATGCTGAACAGTAGCTCAACCTGGAGCTCGGCTGCCGTGAGTCACCGGCGACGGCGTAGGCTGCAGACCCTGTGGCAGTGGGTTGCCATGGGCTACCATTTGTAGCCAGCAGCCAGCGTGAATGGCCAGCAGCCAGCGTGAGCGGCTGTCCCGAAGCTGGCGACTGATCTGCCTCGCCCGGGAAGAGCACAATGATGGTGCCAACTTGGGCCAGTGAAGCAACATCTTCCATAACTAGACTGAAGAACAAAATGACAGTGACTTGTCTGTTCCCCTTCTCCCAACTCCCCAACACTGTTCCCATCCCCCCAATTCCCCAATAAAAATCTTAAAAAAAAAAAAAGTTCTCAGGAGCTACAAACCTAGGTCTGTTGGTATAGTACGTTAAACAGACGGATGCTAGTGGATTTTCCAAAATTCCCAACATGCAAAACTTCTTTCATCTATACTCCCATAACTCTTTGTACAACCTTTTATTACACTTCTCATATGATTTTACATGTCTGTCTCCCATTCTCTAAGCTCCTACAATGAGGAATGCCGGGTAGACAGCAGCTGCTCATCAACGATTGTTTAAATGAAAGATGACTGGTAAACCTAACTCATGACTTCATCCCAACCAAACAAGCGTTTATCCAAGCTCTGGGTATCACCATTCCTCTAGTTTCAGAAAAAAGCCTACTCTCCTCTAATCAAGCCTGACAAAACTAGCCACATACCAACTACAGTAACACTAGGAAGGCCCACTGTACAGTTAGTTAACCCTTGAACAACATGGAGTTTAGGGGCGCTGATCCCCACACAGTTGAAAATCTGCATATAACTTTACACCCCCAAAACTTAACTACTAATAGCCTACTGTTAACTGAAAGCCTTACCAATGAACATAAACAGTTAATTAACACATATTTTGTGTACTATATGTATTATATACTGTATTCTTACAATACAGTAAGCTAAAAGAAATGTGATTAAGAAAATCATGACAAAATACTTACAGTACGGCGCTTATTTATTGAAAAACTATCCTTGTGTAAGTGGACTTGTGCAGTTCAAACCCATGTTATTCAAGAGTCAACTGTACTTGGTTTAGTTATCAGTGTCTAGTATATTTTTATGCTATTATTGTTAGTGCTACATGTATCATCTAATGGATTTTACAACCCTCTCCAAATGTCTGAAAACTATAAACAAAAAAACGAGCCCAATAAATGTAAATGACTTAGTCTTCCACAGCAACCATTATCATAAATCATGAATGGAAGTATCAGTAGCGGTTCTACTAGTTTTCTGCCTAACAGTTTTGGCAGAAGTGCAAGGAGCATATGTCTGCCCTTGGCTTGGTAACAGAATAAAGGCAGAGCCTTCACAACCAACTATATGCTGAAGTCGCATTTGTTGCCAATTCTTTTCATAGTCGCAATAATTTTCTGGTGTATGTAATACAAATTATTTTCTACATTGGGTGAAACAGAGAAAATCAGTATTAAATCATTTATTAATTTTGGGTTTTGTAACCTCATTTTATAAAATAAAAAATCTTAGCTCAGATGCCGGCCCCAAGCAAGTGGACTACTGAAGATGATGCTTGCACATTTGAGAATTCTTTATGCTTATTTTGAACATTCTAATTTAGATAATACATTATCACAGAAATTTTTCTGGGGGTGTACTGATTTAACTAATCTCTTTGAATGCCAACTAATTAAAAATATTTAGCAATATGTGGCTTCATATGTACAAACATAAGATGTTCTTTTAAAATATCACATTATATATGCTTCAAATTCTAAAGTTATTTGATAGAAAAAAATAAAGACTATCTTAATTTACCCTATCCCTATGCAAGATTGTTGTGGTTTTTAAAAACCTAAATAAATTGGTTACATATGCTTAATTTTAATATAATATGTTTTCAAGGTCACTGATATATTAGTCAGGTTATTTTCAAGTTTTAAAACAAAACTGTACATTTAATACTAGCTTTGCAAGGTACATAAATTATTTGTATTCCCTTAAATTAATAAAATAAAAAAATATATAAATAATTTTTCATGTAAGAAAACTACTGGTTGGGCCGGCCGGCCAAGTGGCGCATTGGTTAAGAACTGGCTTGGGACGCCAGAGGACCCCTGTTCGGATCCCACATGTGAGGGCCAGTGACACTGCCCTCTACAGCTAAGATGCTGAACAACAGCTCAACCTGGAGCTGGGTTGCTGNTTTTACTTATTTTTTCAGTCACTCATCACTTAGCCTGGATTTCATTAGAAGCCGACCTGGGATTCAGCACAGTGGTTTAATGGAAGCTGCAAGAAATACTGGTAGGGAAGTGGAGATGTGACAGAGG